GAAAAGAACAGTATGGGTGGTACAGTGAAGCACAGTATGGGTGGTATAGTGAAGAACAGTGTGGGTTGTATAGTGAAGCACAGTATGGGCGGTATAGTGAAACACAGTGTGGGTGGTATAGTGAAGCAGAGTATGGGTTGTATAGTGAAGAACAGTATGGGTTTTATAGTGAAGCACAGTATGGGTGGTATAGAGAAGCACAGTATAAGTGGTATAGTGAAACACAGTATGGGTGGTATAGTGAAGCAGAGTATGGGTTGTATAGTGAAGCACAGCATGGGTGGTATAGTGAAGCACAGTATGGGTGGTATAGAGAAGCACAGTATAAGTGGTATAGTGAAACACAGTATGGGTGGTATAGTGAAGCACAGTATTCGTGGTATAGTGAAGCACAGTATGGTGGTATATATAATGAAGCACAGCATTGGTGGTATAGTGAAACACAGTATGGGCAGTATAGAGAAGAACAGTATCGGTGGTATAGTGAAGCACAGTATGGGTGGTACAGTGAAGAACAGCATGGGTTGCATAGTGAAGCACAGTACGGGTGGTATAGTGAAGCACAGTATGGGTGGTATAGTGAAACACAGTATTGGTGGTATAGGGAAGCACAGTATGCGTGATGTAGTGAAGCACAGTATGGTTGTATAGTGAAGCACAGTATGGTGGTATATGCAGTGAAACAGTATGGGTGGTAGAGTGAAGCGAAATGTGGGTGGTATAGTGAAGCACAGGGTGGGTGATACAGTGAAGCACAGTATGGGTGGCATAGTGAAGCACAATATGGTGGTTTAGGAAGCACAGTATGGGTGGTATAGTGAAGCATAGAATGGGTGATATAGTGTAGCACAGTATGGGTGGTATAGTGAAGAACAGTATGGGTGGTATAGTGAAGCACAGAATGGGTGATATAGTGAAGCAAAGTATGGGTGGTATAGTGAAGCACAGTATGGGTGGTATAGTGATGCACAGTGTGGGTGGTATAGTGAAGCACAGTGTGGGTGATGTGGTGAAACACAGTATGGGTGGCATAGTGTAGGACAGTATGGGTGATATAGTGAAGCACAGTATGAGTGATATAGTGAAGCACAGTATGGGTGGTATAGTGATGAACAGTGTGGGTGGTATAGTGAAGCACAGCGTGGGTGATGTAGTGAAACACAGTATGGGTGGTATAGTAAAGCACAGTATGGGTAATATAGTGAAGCAGTATGGGTGATATAGTGAAGCACAGTATGGGTGGTATAGCGATGCACAGTCTGGGTGGTACAGTGAATCACAGTGTGGGTGATGTAGTGAAGCACAGTATGGGTGGTAAAGTGAAACACAGTATGGGTGGTACCGTGAAGCACAGTATGGGTGGTATAGTGAAGCATAGTATGGGTTGTACAGTGAAACACAGTATGGGTGGTACAATGAAGCACAGTATGGGTGGTACAGTGAAGCACAGAATGGGTGGTACAGTGAAGCACAGCATGGGTGGTATAGTGAAGCACAGTATGGGTTGTATAGTGAAGCACAGTATGGGTGGTATAGTGAAGCACAGTATGGGTGGTATAGTGAAGCACAGTATGGGTGGTATAGTGAAGCACAGTATTCGTGGTATAGTGAAGCACAGTATGGTGGTATATATAATGAAGCACAGTATTGGTTGTATAGCGAAACACAGTATGGGCTGTATAGAGAAGAACAGTATCGGTGGTATAATGAAGAACCGCATGGGTTGTATAGTGAAGCACAGTATGGGTGGTATAGTGAAACACAGTATTGGTGGTATAGTGAAGCACAGTATTGGTGGTATAGTGAAGCACAGCATGGTGGTATATGCAGTGAAACACAGTATGGGTGGTAGAGTGAAGCGCAATGTGGGTGGTATAGTGAAGCACAGTGTGGGTGATACAGTGAAGCACAGTATGAATGGCATAGTGAAGCACAGTATGGTGGTACAGTGAAGCACAGTATGGGTGGTATATTGAACCATAGAATGGGTGATATAGTGAAGCACAGAATGGGTGATATAGTGAAGCACAGTATGGGTGGTATAGTGAAGCACAGTATGGGTGGTATAGTGATGCACAGTGTGGGTGGTATAGTGAAGCACAGTGTGGGTGATGTAATGACACAGTATGGGTGGCATAGTGTAGGACAGTATGGGTGATATAGTGAAGCACAGTATGGGTGATATAGTGAAGCACAGTATGGGTGGTATAATGATGCACAGTGTGGGTGGTATAGTGAAGCACAGTGTGGGTGATGTAGTGAAACACAGTTTGGGTGGTATAGTGAAGCACAGTATTCGTAATATAGTGAAACACAGTATGGGTGGTATAGTGAAGCACAGTATGGGTAATATAGTGAAGCACAGTATGGGTGATATAGTGAAGCACAGTATGGGTGGTATAGCGATGCACAGTGTGGGTGGTATAGTGAATCACAGTGTGGGTGATGTAGTGAAGCACAGTATGGGTTGTATAGTGAAGCACAGTATGGGTGGTACAGTGAAGCACAGTATGGGTGGTATAGTGAAGCATAGTATAGGTGGTACACTGAAGCACAATATGGGTGGTACAATGAAGCACAGTATGGGTAGGACAGTGTAAGCACAGTATGGGTGGTACAGTGAAGCACAGTATGGGTGGTATAGTGAAGCACAGTATGGGTGGTATAGGGAAGCACAGTATGAGTGGTACAGTGAAGCACAGTATGGGTGGTACAGTGAAGCACAGTATGGGTGGGACACTGAAGCACAGTATGGGTGGTATAGTGAAGCACAATATGGGTGGTATAGTGAAGCACAGTATGGGTGGTATAGTGAAGCACAGTGTGGGTGGTATAGTGAAGCACAGTATGGGTTGTATAGCGAAGCACAGTATGGGTGGTATAATGAGGCACAGTGTGGGTGGCACAGTGAAGCACAGTATGGGTGGTATAGTGAAGCACAGTGTGGGTGGTATAGTGAAGCACAGTATGGGTGGTAAAAGTGAAGCACCAGTATGGTGGTATAATGAGGCCCCAGTGTGGGTGGCACAGTGAAGCACAGTATAGGTGGTACAGTGAAGCACAGTATGGGTGGTACAGTGAAGCACAGTATGGGTGGTACAGTGAAGCACAGTATGGGTGGTATAGTGAAGCACAGTATGGGTGGTACAGTGAAGCACAGTATAGGTAGTACAGTGAAGCACAGTATGGGTGGTATTGTGAAACACAGTATTGGTGGTACAGTGAAGCACAGTATGGGTGGTATTGTGAAACACAGTATGGGTGGTACAGTGAAGCACAGTATGGGTGGTGCAGTTAAGCACAGTATTGGTGGTATAGTGAAGCACAGTATGGGTGGTACAGTGAAGCACAGTATGGGTGGTATAGTGAAGCACAGTATGGGTGGTACAGTGAAGCACAGTATGGGTGGTATAGTGAAGCGCAGTATGGGTGGTACAGTGAAACACAGTATGGGTGGTACAGTGAAGCACAGTATGGGTGATATAGTGAAGCACAGCATGGGTGGTATAGTGAAGCACACTATGGGTGGTACAGTGAAGCACAGTATGGGTGGTATAGTGAAGCACAGTATTGGTGGCATAGTGAAGCACAGTATGGGTGGTACAGTGAAGCACAGTATGGGTGGTATAGTGAAGCACAGTATGGTGGTATAGTGAATCACAGTAAAAGGGTGGTACAGTGAAGCACAGTATGGGTGGTACAGTGAAGCACAGTATGGGTGGTATAGTGAAGCACAGTATGGGTGGTATAGTGAAGCACAGTATGGGTGGTACAGTGAAGCACAGTATGGGTGGTATAGCGAAGCACAGTATGGGTGGTATAGTGAAGCACAGTGTGGGTGGTACAGTGAAGTACAGTATGGGTGGTATAGTGAAGCACAGTATGGGTGGTATAGTGAAGCACAGTATGGGTGGTACAGTGAAGCACAGTATGGGTGGTGTAGTGAAGCACAGTATGGGTGGTATAGTGAAGCACAGTATGGGTAGTACAGTGAAGCACAGTATGGATGGTACAGTGAAGCACAGTATTGGTGGTATAGTGAAGCACAGTATGGGTGGTATAGTGAAGCACAGTTTGGGTGGTACAGTGAAGCACAGTATGGGTGGTATAGTGAAGCACAGTATGGGTGGTATAGTGAAGCACAGTATGGGTGGTACAGTGAAGCACAGTATGGGTGGTAAAAGTGAAGCACAGTATGGGTGTATAGTGAAGCGCAGTATGGGTGGTATAGTGTAGCACAGTATGGGTGGTATAGTGAAGCACAGTATGGGTGGTACAGTGAAGCACAGTATGGGTGGTATAGTGAAGCACAGTATGGGTGGTATAGTGAAGCACAGTATGGGTGGTACAGTGATGCACAGTATGGGTGGTATAGTGAAGCACAGTATGGGTGGTATAGTGAAGCACAGTATGGGTGGTATAGTGTAGCACAGTATGGGTGGTATAGTGAAGCACAGTATGGGTGGTACAGTGAAGCACAGTATGGGTGGTATAGTGAAGCACAGTATGGGTGGTATAGTGAAGCACAGTATGGGTGGTATAGTGAAGCACAGTATGGGTGGTACAGTGAAGCACAGTATGGGTGGTATAGTGAAGCACAGTATGGGTGGTATAGTGAAGCATGGTTCCACCACTGATAGGACAAAGGTTCGATCTCCGGTTTGATGTGTAAGCAGATCTCACACATACCTTTCCTTGTAACCTGGCAGTAAATGTTATAAAGTAAGCCACTCTGCCTGGCATTGTTGGCTTACCTTGGGTTAACCCTAATGTCATTTAGCCCCTATAAGTTTAGCGCTTCCCCTTGAATATTATAAACCAGAGTTAATAATCTGAAGTTAAAACAATAACTGGATCGATGAAATTTAAATGATGTTAAATTAACTTTTTTAATTAGGCTACCTAGCTTTTTAAGGCATGTGTAGCTTAGCGGTCTCTCTCTCTCTCTCTCTCTCTCTCTCTCTCTCTATGTATATATACTACATATAAAAATAGTTTACCACTAATGAAGTTATAGAGGCAGAGTTGTGTTCTCTTGACCAAAGCTGCGTTAATACTGAAATACTCACGTCTGCGCACACACATTTATATGCCCTACACAGTCCATAACAAGTTTTACTGCCAGGTATAACATTAAAAAAATGATGAATGTCTTTTCTTTGTAGGTAATGAGTTGTTTCCATCTCTTGAGACTGTGCTGGCTGTTGTGACGTTCTATGGAATGTTTGGGCATACCTTTCTTTATATCTAATTCAAAATGCCCACGGTGTTTTAAATCAGGTCTTTATTATTTATTACGAATATATATATATATATATATATATATATTATATATATATATATATTATATATATATATATATATATATATATATATATATATATATATATATATATATATATATATATATATATATGTGTGTGTGTGTGTGTGTGTATATTATATATATATATATATATATATATATATATATATATATAATATATATATATATTAAGATATAAAGAAAGGTATGCCCAAACATCCCATAGAACGTCACAACAGCCAGCACAGTCTCAAGAGATGGAAACAACTCATTACCTACAAAGAAAAGACATTCATCATTTTTTTAATGTTATACCTGGGCATTAAAACTTGTTATATAATGTGTAGGACGTGTTTCGAAACGTGCCTCATTGAACACATTATTGCATGTAGGAACGATATTCTAAGAACATAAGAAAGAAGGAACACTGCAACAGGCCTACTGGCCCATGCGCGGCAGGTCCATGCCAACCCCCAGCTTAGACCAATGACCCACCTAGTCAGGTCACCTTCACTTAAGGAAGGAGCACGGCTTCTGACCCAGTAGCACCAGCTAGTCAGGTCCAACTCACACCCACCTACACCCACTCATGTATTTATCTAGCCTATTTTTAAAACTACACAACGTATTAGCTTCTATGACGGTACTCGAGAGTTTGTTCCACTCATCCACAACTCTATTACCAAACCAGTGCTTTCCTATATCCTTCCTGAATCTGAATTTTTCCAGCTTAAAACCAATGCTGCGAGTCCTGTCTTGGCTGGAAATTTTCAGCACGCTATTTACATCCCCTTTATTTATTCCTGTTTTCCATTTATACACCCCAATCATATCCCCCTAATTCTAGGCCTTTCTAGAGAGTGCAGATTCAGGGCCCTCAGTCTATCCTCTCAGGGAAGATGTCATCCTCCTCTGTGTGTTTTCCAGTGTATTTATATCCATTCTGTAATACAGTGGCCAGTACTGTGCAGCATAATCTAAATGAGGCCCAACCAAGGATATATTGAGTTGATGAACAACCTGAGAATTTCTATTATTTATGGTTCTTGATATGAAGCCAATGATTCTGTTAGCTTTATTGTGAACACTAATGCACTGTTGTCTTGGTTTCAAGTTACTGCTAACCAGAACTCCTAAATCCTTTTTGCAATCAGTAATATTAAGATCTACATTATTTAGTTTATATGTGACATGGTTATTATCCTTTCCAACATTTACAATTTTGCATTTGTCTCTATTAAACTGCATCTGCCACTTCTCCGACTATTGCATCAATCTATTCAAATCATCCTGGAGTGCTCTAATGTCCTCATTAGAATGAATTGGATGGCCTATTGTGGTGTCATCAGCAAATTTGCTTATGTCGCTATTTATTCCCTCATCTATGTTGTTTATGTAAATTGTGAACAACAACGGGCCCAACACTGACCCCTGAGGAACACCACTTGTGACGTGCCTCCATTCTGATTTCTCCCCATTTATGCAAACTCTCTGCTGCCTATTTGCCAACCATGCCTCTGGCCAGGAAAAAATTTCTCTCATGTGCTTTAAGTTTCCTTAATAACCTCTGATGTGGAACTCTATCGAAAGCCTTACTGAAGTCCATATACACAATATCATATTCAATACCATGATCTAGCTCCTCAGATACGTTAGTGAGAAAAGTTAGTAAATTCGTAAGACAGGAACGCCCCTTTGTAAAACCGTGTTGAGATTCATTAAACAATTCATGCTTTTCAAGATGGCTATTAATTGCCTCGGCAATTACTGATTCCATAAATTTTCCAACTATGGAAGTAAGGCTTATTGGTCTATAGTTCGAAGCTTAGAACCTGTCACCTTTCTTGTAAATAGGTATTACATTCGCCATTTTCCACTTATCTGGCACTATGCCAGTTTGTAGTGATATGTTGAAAAGATTAGCCAAAGGTTTGCTAAGTTCCTCTTTACATTCCTTTAAAACTCTTGCAAACAGTTCATCAGGGCCTGGGGATTTGATAGGTCTTAATTTCTCTATTTGTCTGAGGACCATGTCACGATAATAGTTTATTGTCGTCCTGTTCTACATAATTTATTATTTCTGGAATTTCGCTAGTATCTTCCTAAGTAAAATCATATCCTTATCACTGTCAGTGATCTGACCTAAGTTTCTCTTAAGTGGGTCTATCTTGTCCCTAATCTTACTTCTGTATACCTGAAAGAACCCTTTCAGTTCCATAGTCTGGAACTATCTGAAGATGTTTGATCTGAGAGGGACGTGATCTCTCAGTGGTTCCACTCTCACTACTACTACTCTGCACCACTCCTTCCGACAGTCTCCGCACTGTCGCTTGATCTTCAGATAGTTCCAGACTATTGAACTGAACTTCTCCAGGCTGAGGGACTGACAACCTCAAATCTACGACTTCAAGGATGATGGACTGATTACATCGTCTTCACATCTCTACTGTACCTGCATATTTTCTGTATTCGACTGAAGAAGCCTACTGTGTAGGCGAAACGTTTCAGAATAAAGTTGCCTATGTGTCTTACCTACCAGGTGTAATTGGTACAAGGAATAATTTGCTCGATCACATGGAAACCAAAATATATTTAAACATTATTTTTATTTTTCCCAAAATATGTACAACTCAGTAGTTCTTGATGGTGCCATTGTGAGCTATGTCATCAATATAATGGGTTAAATATAAAAAGAACATATTGGCGACCTCCTCAGTAATATTATTTACGTAATGGTCCAGAGACAACAACAACCGTCCTTCAAAGGTCTGGAAGACGACCAAGAAAGGACATCCACATAACTCTGATGCCGTGGATCGAAGAAGACTGGTGATCTCCACAGGCCCATCCCCGTATTTACCAGGCAATATTTGCTTCAGATTGCCCATGTTAGTGCACGTCATGTTTGTATTAACCAAGTTTCTGCATCCTAGACGAGTTAGCAAGTAATTTACTGGGTTAATAGCAGAGATTACCAAAGAGAGTGGAGACATACGAATAGGTGTTTTACTGACACAAAGATTGTGTTGGAGGTCGTCATGCATGCGTCTTGCTAGACCCCAGAAATTATCTTTGTTTTCTGCGTCACTACTGCAGACAACGTATTCATGTTTGGTCAAGCATGAGTGAAAACCAACAGACTCACTGTAAACACTTGGGTAGTAGCGACGCATGTTTACAGCGTTATCATAAGTGATCCTCAGTGAGTCTAAAGTTTCTTTTGAATATTTCTGAGCGGTGCGTAGAAGCGCTAGGTAAGCTGCAGCCACTATACTAGAGTGAACGCTAACTTTTGCTTCTTTGCAGTGACGCAAAAGCTCTTGAGTCGTCTCTGCTGAGAAGTCCTTACGCAACACATTTGTAAGTGCTACCTTCGTGTTTGGCCGAGGAAGACTAATACTGTAGCAGTTATCACTGAACATGCTCATGATTGTTCTGTACGTTACAGACGAGAAAAACCTAAGGCACCAAATACAGTCTCTCATGCTGAAAAGTTCGTCAACAATGGCTGGAATGTTATGGCGTGTGGGCGTGTTGTGACTCCGTCCAGTCATGATGGCGTTCAGAACCTCCATAAAGTCTCGGGAGATGATCATATTGGTAAGGCCGTCAATGATGATGTGATGTAAGGTGAGAACCAGGACGGCCTGGTGGCAGCCAGCAGCTGCCTGTGGCTGGGGAACCAAGCTCGCTCTCCACAGTGGTCCCTGAGAAATATTGTAGGGAGTTCTCATCTGCTGGTAGTATACCGACATGGCGTCGCCCGTCTCAACGCTGAAATCTACAACAACGTTCTTCATCCGTCGTAACCATGGTCGAAACCAGCGCCAAGCAACGCAGATCTGCAGAACATGTATCTTCCTGCCAAAAGAAATAATTATACATCATTATCGATCCTAATTATGTATATATGTAGTTTGTGGGAAACAATCAGGCTGCAGCATTAGGGTTAAAAACATCAGTTATTACCGGGATACCTCAGGGATATGCTTAAAAGACAATATTCAAAATAAAGTTGCTAAAAATGGCAAATCAATTGATCAACAAACAAAGAGAGATAGAAGAGGGCAACGAGTAACTAGCTCCCTTAAGGTTTACTATACAAATAGTAGGAGTCTAAGAAATAAAATAGATGAGCTAAGATTACTTGCAAGGGTAGGTAATATAGATATTATTGGTATAACAGAGACCTGGTTCAACCTGAAAGATAGAGAAATGCCTTCTGAATGCAACATACAGTGTTATAAACTATTTCACATTGAAAGGGTCAACAGGAAGGGTGGTGGAGTGGCGATGTATGTCAGAGAAAATTTAAATTGTTGTCTTAGACATGATATAAGATTAGAAACATCGAACACTGAATCTGTTTGGCTACAGTTTCTCGAGGGACGTGACAAACTAATTTTGGGTGTGATTTTATAGGGATTTTGTAGGGAGTGCAGTAAGCTGTTATGGGACGAAATTCATAAGGCATCTAGATATGAAAATGTTGTGATAATGGGAGATTTTAACTTTAGACAAATTGATTGGAACAATATGACAGGAAATCTTGAGTCTACTGACTTTCTTGATACGTTTCAGGATTGCTTTTTAGAACAGGTTGTGACAGAACCAACTAGAGGAAACAATCTGCTTGACTTGGTTCTTGCCAATAAAGATTCACTAATTAATAATCTTGAGGTTAATGATGAGCTTGGGGAAAGAGATCACAAATCACTTAGTTTCAATATATCATGGAATTACCCAGATAACTGCAATCAAATCTCTGTCCCAGATTTTCGCTTGGCCGACTTCATGGGACTGAAAAATTACCTGGGTGGGCTAAATTGGGATGTCCTGACTATGGGTCAGGTAGGTGATCTTGGTTGCCAATATGACGTTTTTCAGAGCATAGTTCTAGCTGCCCAGACAACTTTTGTTCCGAGTAGGGAAATTAGATCTAGCAAAAATGATACCAAATGGATGAACAATAGATTAAAACATCTCATTGGTCAAAAGAGAGGCATATACAGGCGTATCAGAAGAGGGGATGGGGAGTTAAGAAATCAATATATTCAATTAAAGAGAGAAAGAGAGAAATAAGAAAAGCAAAAAGGGATTATGAGGCTAAGGTCGCAAGGGATTCAATGACTAACCCAGAAGAGTTCTTTCAGGTGTACAGAAGTAAGATTAAGGACAAGGTTGGCCCACTTAAGAGTAACTCTGGTCAGATCATTGACAGTGATAAGGATATGTGTGAAATTCTAAATACCTACTTCCTCTCAGTTTTCACCCAGGGAAATACTAGCGATATTCCTGAAATAATAGATTATGTAGAACAGGATAATAAACTATGTACGAGTGCGGTAACTAGTGACATGGTCCTCAGACAAATAGAGAAACTAAAACCTGACAAATCCCCAGGCCCTGATGAACTGTTTGCAAGGGTGTTAAAGGAATGTAAAGAGGAACATAGCATACCTTTGGCTAATCTTTTTAACATATCACTACAAACTGGCATAGTGTCTGATAAGTGAAAATGGCAGATGTAATATCTATTTACAAGGCAGGTGACAGATCCTTGGCTTTGAACTATAGACCAATAAGCCTTACCTCCATAGTGGGAAAATTTATGGAATCAATAATTGCCGAAGCAATTCGTAGCCATCTTGACAGGCACAGATTGATTAATGAATCTCAACACCGTTTTACAAAGAGACGTTCCTGTCTTACGAATTTACTAACTTTTTTCACTAAGGTGTTTGAGGAGGTAGATCATGGTAATGAATATGATATTGTGTATATGAACTTCAGTAAGGCTTTCGACAGAGCTCCACACCAGAAGCTATTGAGAAAACTTAAGGCACACGGAATAGGAGGAGAAATTTTTTCCTGGGTAGAGGCATGGCTGACAAATAGACAGCAGAGAGTTTGCATAAATGGGGAGAAATCAGAATGGGAGCACGTCACAAGCGGTGTTCCTCAAGGGTCAGTGTTGGGCCCGTTGTTGTTCACAATTTACATAAACGACATAGATGAGGGAATAAATAGCGACATAACCAAATTTGCTGATGACACCAAAATAGGCCATCCAATTCATTCTAATGAGGACATTAGAGCACTCCAGGATGATTTGAATAGAATGATGCAATGGTCGGAGAAGTGGCAGATGCAGTTTAATATTGACAAATGCAAAGTTCTAAATGTTGGACAGGTAAATGACCATGCCACATATAAACTAAATAATGTAGATCTTAATACTACTGATTGCGAAAAGGATTTAGGAGTTCTGGTTAGCAGTAATCTAAAACCAAGACAACAGTGCATTAGTGTTCGCAATAAAGCTAACAGAATTCTTGGCTTCATATCAAGAAGTATAAATAATAGAAGTCCTCAGGTTGTTCTTCAACTCTATATATCCTTGGTTAGGCCTCATTTAGACTATACTGCTGAGTTCTGGTCACCGTATTACAGAATGGACATAATTCATCTGGAAAACGTACAGAGGAGGATGACAAAGATGATCCCATGTATCAGAAATCTTCCCTATGAGGATAGACTGAGGGCCCTGAATCTGCACTCTGTCGAAAGGCGTAGAATTACGGGAAATATGATCGAGGTGTATAAATGGAAAACAGGAATAAATAAAGGGGATGTAAATAGCGTGCTGAAAAGTTCCAGCCAAGACAGGACTCGCAGCAATGGTTTCAAGTTAGAAAAATTCATATTCAGGAAGGATATAGGAAAGCACTGGTTTGGTAATAGAGTTGTGGATGAGTGGAACAAACTCCCGAGTACAGTTATTCAGCTAAAACGTTGTGCAGTTTTAAAAATAGGTTAGATAAATACATGAGTGGGTGTGGGTGGGAGTTGGACCTGACTAGCTTGTGCTGCTGGGTCTGGTGCCGTGCTCCATCCTTGAGTGGAGGTGACCAGACTGGGTGGGTCATTGGGCTTATCGGAGGGGGGGGTCATTGGTCTAATCCGGTAGGAGGGGGACATGGACCTGCTCCGCATGGGTCAGTAGGCCTGTTGCAGTGTTCCTTCTTTCTTATGTTCTTATGTATGTATATATATATATATATATATATATATATATATATTATATATATATATATATATATATATATATAAATATATATATATATATATATATATATATATATATATATATATATACATATATATATATATATATATATATATATATATATATATATAAATATATATATATATATATAATATATACATATATATATATATATATATATATATATATATATATATATATATATATATATATATATATATATATATATATATATACAGTATATATATATATATATATATATAATATATATAATATATATATATATATATATATATACAGTATATATATATATATATATATATATATATATAATATGTCGTGCCGAATAGGTAGAACTTGCGATCTTGGCTTATCTTGCCATATAGGACAAGTAAAAATTTGTGTATGCAATAATTTCGCCAAAATAATTCTGACCCTAACGAAAAAAATGATTTCCTGGTTTGTTTAGTTTTAAAATTTTTGTAAACAAATCTAAAATAATTTAGATGGGTTTTTTTTTTATTTTTTTTTAAAAACAAACAATAAATTAAATAGATAAAAAACCAGTAACATTTTCTTACTCAAAATTTTAAAAATCTCATTGTTAAAAAACACAGACGTTTAACGTTGTGTTGTCAAAACTGCCCCTCACCCATATCTTTACACCAATGTAACTATTTTAATAAGATTACACAAGAAAACATAACAATTTTCTCATTATTATTAAAACCCAAAGGGAAAAACCCCAAACCTAAAATCTCATTTTTTTTTTCCACTTTGTTATTTAATATTATTAATCCACATAATCTTCAAACCCCCTTTTATATACTCCTTATTGCCATGCCGACACACTGACACTTTTTACCCCCCCCCCCCCCGAAGTACACCCCCATTCTAAATAACTACTTTAAATTTTCCCTAAATGAAGGTCATTGAAAACAATTTCTACTAAAATAACCCAAACCAGCAGACTTCCCAAACAAAAACATCAGGGTCATTATAAGACATGGGGAACGATCCTGCATCATATAGTATCCAATACGCATGCAATACACATACTGTTTGCACTTATTCAAAAACAAACAAAATCATACATAAAAAAAAAATCGCAAAAAGACTTGTCTGCAAAAAAATTTAAAAAATAACAATTATATGAACTAAAAACCAAAGACATTGGTTCCCCCAAACCCCCTACACATACACAAAGTTAATGTTACCGATTAACACTCAATATATAAAGGACCTTCCAACAAAATAATGTATATATAAACCCCACAAATACTTAATATTTTCTACTAGTGCATAATGTACCCATTCAATACAAAAAAAAAAGAGTGATGACAAGGCTAAATCTATCCAGTTTAAAAATAATAAACAAACCCCTCCAATCAAAAAAAAAATTAACCCCCTATAAAAAAAGATTCTATAACAATAAGGGAAAAAACCGAAAATACATACAACTTTGACTCTGTGTTTTTAAACAAAATTCAAAATCCATACCCGGAGCCCCCACGGCCCCCACAAAAACTTTCCCAATCAACCACCGTGCAAACCAACAACCATACCTCACCAGGCTTCCAATCACACCAAGAGGGCGCACCACGAAAAAATCAACCCCCTTGCCTCTCACCCCATACCAAACGAGTAAATTTTAAACAAAGTCCACGATATCCCCCGGAAAACTAAAAACCCACCTTCCCCCCATATAATTGTTTGTTCCTACAGCGCCTATAAAAACTCGCCGCCAACCTTTTATCCAATTTTCCCCTCCACCTCCCTATCCCCCAAGAAA